TGTGGGACTGTTTCCTAAGTTGGGAATTTTAAGAAGAATTTTGGAATAGGAGTTTACTGGAATCCTGCCTGCTTGTGTATTGTTTTTTTTTTTCCAACAACTGCATTCAATACATTGTTTGCATGTATTTATTATTTATATTATCCTTTGTAGACTCTTTCTGTAAATATACTTTGCAGTTATTTTTGTGCTATTCCTTGTAATGGCTATTGCTGTATGCACTGGGGACCACTTCTATCCTTCTTGCCATTTGTTCCACTTCAGACATGTTGGTTGGCCAAAATTAAGCACAGAGATAACTCAAGCCCTCCCAACATTCTTTTCATGTTTAAGAGCTCTATGTTTTATTTAGCTGCTACATATTCCACTTCTGTTCATACACCTTACCTACTGTGATCTCTTTCCTACTTGTTTCAAGAATCCAGATGAGAAAACTAATTCAGATGAATGGCTCTGGTACATTTTTTGATAGTCTACCAAGCTTTGTTTGCATCAAGTATAGGCAACTTCCAGAGGTCTACAAGTGCTTACCTCTGCATTTGAAGCTTGCTACCACCCCAGTGTCCACCCACTCTAGAACCATTTTTCTTTAATAAGCATCTTTTTTTAAATTGAAAAAGGTCCCTCACCCCCCCTCTAGAATTTATGACGTTTTTACAACACTTCCAAAACATGGCAAAATTGTTTCCTATGCCACAAGAGGGCAACCTACCTGATCATTTTAAACCAACTTTTTTTACAATTTGGGAATTGGCGGTGGTGGGTGATCTTGGGTGCTGTAAGTAGCCTGTTGGTCACACAGCCTATACCTGGCTTTCAGGCATGACTGTCCAAGGCTTCAGATCTTAGTTCAGAATGGGAATTATTATTGTCAGAGATTACATGACAATAGCAGGATTTAATCTACAGAGCCTTCTTGGGGCATCATGAGAAATCAATGGTTCCCAACCTCGGGTCCCCAGATGATTTTGGACAAAAGCTCCAGGAAGCTTTCACCACTAGATGTGCTGGCCAGGATTTCTGGGAGTTGCCATCCAAGAATATCTTGGGACCCAAGGTGAGGAACATTGCTTGCTTGGTTTAGCAGCTTATGGATGGACAACAAAATCAGGCTCCTGGTTGCAGACAGTCAAGCAATCTAATTTCATTCATTCCCTTAAGTTCTCTCTGAGGACCCAGCTCCTGTACTAAAGACATCTGTGACAGTTGAAGATTCATAAGGCATTATCATGTTTCCAATTCTCTTGCCACTGGTTGGTGACAGAATAGGTCAGGGAACAACAGTGCGCTCGTTCTTTAGGGTCTCTGGCCACATTTGACAAGCATCTGAACAAAACATACTCTTAAAGCTTCTTTTTGTTAATCCTTTCATTGCAAAGCAAAGCAAAGCAGGCTGCTTATATACCATTCTATAGTGCTTCAAGCACTCTCTGGCCGCTTTACAAGTTAATTATGCAGGCTACACATTGCCCTCCCACGAGCTGGATACTCATTTTACCAACCTCGGAAGGATAGAAGGCTGAGTCAACCTTGAGCCGGCTACCTGGGATTTGAACCCCAGGTCGTGAGCACAGTTTTAGGTGCAGTACAGCAGTTTAACCAATGCGCCACGAGGGTCTTTTACAACAGTCTTGAATAAAAGTACTTATTGCTGTGGCTGCTCTTTCTATACAGACACCTTGCAATGTGTTTCTCTTGTTAGTTACAGATAAAAGTCTTTGTCATTTTTAAAAACGGTATATTTTTTTTCCTTTGCAAGGTTGTGGCAGAGCTATACAGCTAGACTGGAGAGTAATAACTAGACGATGAGAAGGTGGACAGAGAAGTGTCCTAGTTGTCAGACAATGAAGAACTGAAAAGGGTCTGTAAATGCACCAGTAGTACGAGTGACAGTTTTCTAGCTGCTTTCCCTGTGTCTTTGCAGCCAACTAGGCAGGACAGGTGAAGCAATGGAACAAATTGGGATTAAACAAAATTTTAGAGTTAAAATGCAATGGCAAGTCACACTTAACATAAGATGAGATTCAATAAGCCAACTGCAAAACATGGTTTCAGATTGCACTCAATTCTTTGGACAATTTTTAATGTACAGACAAGCTACAGTTAAGGTAAACAAACCATGGTTTAGAAAAACTGACCAGTGAATTTTAATTACCAATGGAAGCATAACTATATAGTTATATCCAAGGATTCAAATATATTTGGGATTTAGCGCACATATCACAGTGAAAACATGACAGGAAAATTTAATATAACTCAATACCTACAAAGACTATTTTATGCTTACTCCTAGAAAACCCTTTTTCTTATTCTTTTAACATTAACTGTAAATTAACTGTAATTTCTTTATGTTTGTGTGTGAGCTAAAGAATGATTTGATTACAATGTGTAAGCTTGTTTTCTCAAAACACATCCTGATGCAGAAACAAAGGGGTATGGAGAAATAATATCCCTAGTGGCATCATTTTTGTCCCTGCAGTTCTGTAGAAACTGGAAGACACTAAAATTTTGTCACTGATTCCAACTCACAGCATTTTAGGTTTTCATGCAATAAAGCGTGTTAAAACTCTCATGCCCAAAGACAACAACCTACCAAAATAATGTCAACTACCACTAGATGGCAGTCTTTTGCTGTGATTCACAAGTCGAGCATGCTTTCCAGCTCTTAAACAAAAATGACATTTCACATCCCCATTTCTTTTTAACTCATACAGACCTTTTCTGTCAGCAAAGATTGGATACATATGATTTATGACCTTGTGAATTATTGTAAGGATTTCTGAATGCAGATTGGTTTGCACTTTGATTCCACTTTATTTATTTAATGCATCCAGATACTGTACTGCCCTTCATCCCATCAGGATTTTAGGACAATGTACAATTATGCATACGTAGCACTTGATTGCTCTACAGTCAATTATCACGCTTTTACTGACTGGCAAATGACTGTGTGGACTGTCTCCATGGAACAGCATTCACTTGAAGTGATGGGAAGAGATACAATAATTTCCATCCATAAAGATGCATTCATGCATGCAAGCCTTCACTTGATGTTATCAAGTGATGAACATTCATGTGTGATCCATGCCCCCAAATGTATGCTAAACAATTCAGAAGGCCAAGATCAGTGCTATAGATACATAGAAACCTACATCCATGTTTGCCCTAGCAAATGATTCATTGATCTCTGATAACAGTGATGAGAAGACCTCCAGCTTAGAGCTGAGGATACAGAGCACACTGTTGTCACACGTTTGCTCAGCTCCAGATCTCAGACCCCACCTCCGTCAACTTGACAGCTCCAAGACAGAGAGGCAGGAAGTGCAGCTACGGCATTCCAAACAACCTGAATTACGAAAAGGATCAACCTGGCTTAAGAAGAGAAGGTTGGGGCTCACCCTTTGAGTTGTGTCTAAAGTACTCTAAGTATAAATAGAAAGCAAGCCCCCGTTGTATGCTGTACCTTTCTGAGATGGGGAGGGATGCAGAACATTCCTTCTAACATCTCAAAAATGCATGGCACAGAATCAAGGATAAAATTTGCAATTCTATGCATACCTAACTAGAAATCTGCTCTATTTATGTAAGTAGTAAAAATGTGTCTGGCTGTATAGCTTGATGAGTTAGGGGTTAAGAGATCAATTTTATGTAAGTAGTAAAAATGTGTCTGGCTTGATGAGTTAGGGGTTAAGAGATCAACTCCCCATTGTGCATGCCAAGAGAAGACGCAGCCTGTATAGCCTTGGCCAAGCTGCACATTATTTAATGCGAAGAACCCCATTTCGCAGAAATAACATTTAGTGCAAGGTAACGCTTTAATGCAAGTAACGTAAATTGCACAACACAATTATTGCTATTGCTATGTTGTATGGCAGCCTGAGACAACTCTTCTTTTAAACAGTGGGCCAGTGCTTTTCTGCTTAATTTATCTGTGTAGCTTGCTTCTCAGAAGGAACAAATACCAATTCTGTGGAGAAACTACTTGCATAAATTACAACCCATTCTCAATTGAGAATTCTCCCTTGCCAAACTAAATAAGTGGGTCACAAAAGAGGTGACTACGGTCAAATGACAATGTTGTCTACTGATTTTTTTAAAAAAAGTTCAGTTGTGATAGTTTCAGATGTATTTATCTAAAACCAGTCCAGACTCAATCTGTAACAGAGGTCTTTTCAAAGGAAAATGGCTGCACAGTTGAATAAATGGTAGAATGTAGTTCATCACATAGATGTACACTCCTCAAAAGACTGTTCTTCAGACACCCCGTCACTCAGTCAAGCTTCAGTATTAGAAATGAGCTGGAATGGGAAGAAAACATGGGGTGATAGTCTGGGAGAAAACTTTCAGAGATATATATAGAGGATGAGTGGAATATTCAGCTCCTCTCATCATACAGTGCAGGAGTAGGCGATACCTTTATAGATCACTTTAAAAAAATTATACAACCTGCTAGCTTTCATGAATCAATACCCACTTCTGCAGACATTTGTTCATGACTGAAGAAGTGGGCACTGATCCATGAAAGCTAGCAGATTGTGTGACTTTTGTTTGAGTGGTCTATAAAGGTATTGCATAAGGACCTTAGGGCTCTCTGGTATTGTATAATGACCAAACAACTCTCTTCTATTTCAGTGGAATCATTCTAATCAGTTCATTTCTTCAGCTGTAAAAGCCGTGGCCCTGTTATACACAGGATTGGGACACACATGTGTTTAAACCAGTTACAATACTTTGGTCTTAACATACCAACAAAACTTGCTGCTTCTATCAGTTTTCCCTATTAGATGTAAAAGACTTTTAATAAGAATTTCACATCCATGGGCAAGTGCAGCTAGCAGTGGAGATTAAATATTGGACTATGCATACAAAAGAAGAAGGAGAAAAAGATGCTATGGGAATTCACAGTTTCAACTGGCAGGCAAGAAGAAAGGCAAGGAGGAGAGGTCACTCTTCTGGAGCTACGTTACTGTGTTTACAATGACATTAAGAATAGGCATTACCTGTTCTAAGAGATTCTGAAGCCTCTCTATTTCACAATCTATCACAAATTTCTTTTCCTGCCTTCGGTCCAAGTCTTCTAAAAGCTGCCTGTAGCTTGCATCATTAAAATTCTCCACACAAATGGCGCTGACTTGCCAGCTTTTTTCTCCCGCTGTTTCCATAATAGCTTGAAGTATTGAGTAACCTGAAAGAAAAGGACACAGTACACTAATGACACAGGTCTTGCATTTTTGTGTGTGTGAATCATGAGAGTATTTAATCAATATAAAGTTATCTATGGAGTTGGTGAGGAGTTAAGGTTTACAGTTATTTATTGTGCTTTCCCATGGTTGACAACCATTTAAAGACATTTTTAGGTGTAGAACCCAGACAAAGCTAGGCATGTGCAACTGAGGACATGACCATATGTTGAATTAAATTGGGAGCTGGTTTGGATTTTTCAGTAACGATGTAATGCAATGTCGTTTTTTTGTTGGTGTATGTGTTCCCTTGAAAACTGCACCTCCATGTTTTGCCTCTGTGTAGATGGGGAGGGGGAGTGTCTCCCAGGCTTCCACTCAGTGAACGTGTCTCTCAGGTCAGGAGGAGGATGGAGAGATGATAGTGGTTCCTCCTCACTCTGAAAACCAGCCACCTTGTTTCCCCCAACCACCGGGAACTTCACAGAGCTGGGGAGGAGGGCACAGTCCATGTTCCAGTGAGGGGGACTCTCCATGAAGTGAAATCCTCTTCAGTGAGTGATGTCAGCTTTTTTCTGCAGATCCAACACACTGGATGTAACACAATTCTAGCCTCAAAAATTCAAGAAATAATAAAAAATGCCTAACAAAACATGCAGTTCAAACAAAAGCTAAGGTAATGAAGTTGTGAGTTTTAAATGTCCTTGTGCAATGCCTTGTGCATTTACACAATCAGGATCAAGTACTGGATTTTACATTTCCATAAGGACAAAAATCTGGTTTATTAAGTAAATAGTTTACAAGATGCACACTTTAAACTCTATTGTTCTGGATAAAACTCTTTATCACTCTGCACAGTACGTACTGCTTCTGTGTACAGAATCTGGAGTGACATCAAGGCAGCATTATGAATCAGCTTATTACCAATTTCAGTTGTTTATACATTGTTTGGCAAATTAAGATCTTCACCCCCCCAGTATATTCACATGCAAGCACACATCTGTTCAACTGTATTCTCAGCAAATGTTCAATCCATATTGTATCTTATGTATAAACATTCAAAAGATTAGTCATTATTACTATTACACACATTCACGACACACATCATTATTAATTTAAAAACCACAAGTAAACAGGGATTACACTTCTCTAGCTTAGAGGGAGTTTCTCAGCTTTAATTAATTAATGTTTATAAAGGCTTTTGAGATACATGAATAGAAAGCCTATGAAGTAATTCTTCTTGTTCTTAGATGTAGTTAAAGTAGTTTTAATACTAACATTGGCATTACCCTATCCGCATGTCCATTTCAAGTCAATTTCAATCAAAGGGAACTATTTTACTTTTAAAAATCATTATTTACTTGTTTCTTTACTAACTTAACCACACCAGGCAACCTCTGAACTCCACTAATATTAGGCTGTTCCATCTAACACTGACAAGGTCTAATTGATGGCAGGCTGACTAGTCTGTAGCTCCTTGATTCCCTCTTTTTGAAGATAGGCACAATCATCTGACACTTCACTCATCCTCTGCGATTTCAAGAAAATAATAGTGGTTCTGAGAGTTCTTCATTTAGTTCCTTCAATAGTCTTAGATGCAGTTCATCTGGCCATGGAGATAGGAACTTGCTCTAAGTAATAAGGTATTCCTTGACTTTTTCCAAATATAGATTCCTTGGCATAATACAAAATCTATATTTCAGTAGTCAAGTTTAATTTTTAACCTGAAGTCAGTTTTCTTCTTCCTCTTTTCTTCTTCACCTTGGAAATAATGATTATTTTTCTTAAATTACTGCAGAATTAGTCAACTCTTTCTGTGGCTATATACTCCCTTTTGTTAAACTTGTCTGTAATTATCTTTTCAAATGATGCCTAGATCATTTTCCAAATAATATATTCTTAACCTCATTTCCCATTCATATCCACATATTTCTGAGTAGAACCATATCAGGACTTTATACACATTCATGACTCTTTGATGATATTAACTTTGATGTGATCTTTGATAGCAAACCAGTCAATATTTGCTAAATGCTGTTTCCTGGCACAGATTTCCTCAGTGATAATAATTGAGAAAAATCAATTGGCCTTCTTTTCCACAGGAACCTAGACTACTATTACCAAATGATGGAAAGCAGAACATTGGAAGATATGGAACAGTCATTTGATCCAGAAGGGTTTTTTCATTTTTATGCTACAGTTGCTTTATGCTTTTATGTCTCTCTGAGTAGAGGCTCCTGAACTATGGAGCAACGTGATCTGACCCATCATAGGAGGACTTCCAACTTGTCACATTAATGAGTAGGAATTGGGGTGATTGTGACCACTATATATTTGGTAACACTATTCCCAGTTCCTGTCTCAATTAGGGACAAAATACACATGGCATTGGCAATGTAATTCATACTTAAGTGCAAGGTTTTTCATCCATAAATTGCAAATGTGGGACCCAATCCAGACTGACCTTTAACTCTTTGTTTACAAGTCTCAGGTCATCCCCTATTTAACAGAAAGAAGTTCCTGTCTGTTCCGGTCAGATGTCCTGCCCTGTTTCTTATGGACTGTGAATAAGTTCCTGCTTATGCCAACTGAAGTTCCTCCTTCCCATTTCTCCCAATATACACACACAGCAGGAAGAGGACATTCCATGCCACACGGTGGCAATTAATGAAAAGAAGATGCTTTGTACTGAGGGCAAACGATGTGATTAATGTAATACATACAGTCTGTAGAAAGGGACTAGGTAAATTCTAGGAAGACATGAGTGCCACTAACCATAAATCAAAAGAGTGCTCCAGAAACCACACATGCAAAGCATGAGTGCCTACACTGAAGCTAGATGAGCCAAGGGCATCTCTGTAGGTAGTCCTACTGACTATAATCATAGTAAATAATAATGTGCCATCAAGTCAATTTTGAATCATGACAACCCTTTTCAGGGTTTTCTAGGTAAAGACTACTCAAAACATTCTCTTCTTCTGTGTGTGGGAGGGAGGCGTGCCCTAGGATTGTGCAGCTTTTTTCATGGCTGTAAGAATTCTTAATGTTTGCAATAATAATAATAATAATCTTAGAGCTGCAGAATTGGAAAAGACCGCATGGATCACTGAGTTCAGCCCCTAGCAAGGAAGAGCAGAAGGAAGGGGGTGGACTGATGTATTTTGGGGGAGAAAAATGCCTTTGGATCCAGGGCATCTGTTTTTGCTCCTCCCCTACAATAACATATTTATTTTATTTGTTTATTTAACATATTTTACCTTGCCTTTCTCCTAAAAAGGATCCAAAGTGGATCACATCATTAGAAATAAACTATATTAAAAGCCAAAACAGTAAGTTATTTGAATATTTAAAAAATTAAATAGACATCATATTAAAAGTGATAGATAAACGCATTACTATAATAGATTTTAAAAGCAACTAAAGTACAGACAATCTCATTTTAATAAAACCCTTTTAGACAGTCAGTTAGTAAGGGAAAGCTTGCCTGAAGAAGAAGATTGTTGCCTGTCTGTGGAAGGATAGCAAAGATGAAGCCAGGGGAGGGAGTTCCAGAGCCATAACAGAGAAGCCCCTCTCCTGTATTACCACCAAATGCACCTATAAAGACGACTGAAAACTGTTCTCAGCAATTGGAGAACCATCAGGGACACCTATCGTTTAACCAGACATAGCAGGACCCCACCCTTGCAGCACTCCTCGCCACTAGGTGGGGTGGTGGCTACAGATGGGGACGACTCACCATTTTGGCAAGTCATCCCGCTTCGTGAGTCATCAAGGGTTGACGATTCATGAAGCACAAAGTTGCCCCCATGAAGCAACAAATAATGAAGTTATTAAAACACACACACGCTGCCGCCCCTTTGGGAAGCAACAAATAATGAAGTTATTAAAACACACACCCGCCACCGCCCCTTTGGAGATGCAGCTTCCCGAAGCCGCAGCCACCATATTTGCAAAGGGCAGCCAGTCTCCCTTTTTACATGCCGTGGCTGGGAGGCCAGAAGGAGACCTTGGCAGCAGCGATTAGGGTAAAGGGGATAAGGTAGCGAGGGGAAGGGGTGGGGTGTAGGCTGTCAGGATGGGTGGCTGGGGTGTGGTGGCTGCCTATTGGCTGATGATCAGCTAATTGGCAGTCGGTAGGCAGAATGGTTTTTGGGTTGTTGGTTTTTTGGTATTATGAAGGATGAATAAGGCAAATATTATATTCATCCCTTTGTATTCATGAGGGTCTCTGGAACCTACAGATATGAAGGGATGAATTTCTAACGAATCGGCTATTTTCATCGAAAAAGCCGATCCATTTTTATATTCATCCCCATCTCTACTGGTGGCATCTCAGTTTTAGAGATATTTCATTTGTACAGAGTATGCTAGGTAAAGGGAGTGCTACCACATTAACATGCAACACGTTTTACTTCTGAAGTCTTACATCTATTTAATTAATACTTCTGGTTCTCTCTATTAAAGGATTATAAAATAAGCTAACAAGAATGTCTTTCCCCAAAGCATACTAATACTTTGAGGAACTATCGCACAATGTTAGTTTAGGTACTAGAGATGTGCCCAAACTACCAGTTCCATGGTTCGTGCCAGTTCGTTTAATGGCCGAACTGGTATTTAGTGCTTCAAAGCCTTGCCTCTTCTGGCTGACGCCCACTCAGAGGCAGAGCCTGAAAGAGGCAGGGAAGTTAGGTTGCTGCCCCTTTCCAGGTGAGTGACAACACTTAAAGTGGCAACACTTGTTCGGCTGAAAAAAGAACTGGCATGAACCCCTGGACCAGTGGTTTATGCCGGTCTCTATTAGGGACCATTATGCCGGACAGTAACTTTAGAAATTGACTACAACAATACGCCCAGAAGGAGCCAAAGATCATCTGCCGGCCATAGCTCACTGTGTGAGAGGCAGTGAGTCTGTGGTTGGGCCCCTACTGGATCTCCCTCT